TATATCAAAAAGGGATAAAAATTAAAGAAATTAATAAAATTGTTCTCATTAGTGGTGAAGTATAAAGTAATACCTCCTGTTTGGGACAAACTCTTGAAAAAGATCACACCTGGTCAGAGAGTATTAAATTCTAAATAACATTCATTCAAAATTGCAACATCCTGTGAAAGTTAAATCGCAAGGCCTTTTGAATTCACTAGATAAGTAATACACGAGTTTAAGAAAAATAGGGCTTTCTTTTTACCTGTAAAACACACATGTACTGAGGTAATTAAACCTTATTAAAGTGCTTCTTGTATGCCATGTCTTTAATTTTGACAAAAATTATTCAAATTTAATTGAAATAAATTTTTACTGTAACTTTGGAACACATTTCCTTTTTTAAAAGTTTATCACAGGATTACTATGAAAGTTCTAGCTATTATCATGATTATATTAAATTCTTGGTTTAACAAAACAAAGGTGTCATTTTTAAATTTATTAAGTTGCTTTATATGCTATTTTATATATATTTTAATAAAAAAAATGTTCACTGCATTATTAACTAAACTCAACTGACACCATAAATCTATACGAGGCTTAAGTTAATGGTGAAAATTGTCCAGTAACCATAAAATATATCTGAAACATTCAAAAAATTTTGAATAACATTGAAAATATTAGTCACAATTCAGTTTTTGAGATTATTTGATCAGCTTGTTTTATTTTTATTTTAAAGGTGATATATATGTATGTATATAAGTGTTGATGAATATGGTGATGAAGTTATATTATGTTTATTGTGAAATTTTGGTTTCAATGCTATATTGAATACATTTTTAATTTCAAATTATTGTTCAAATTTCTTGCCAGGGGAAATAGCTGTTGTTAAAAACAGTTCCTAAATTGATAAAATACAATAGATAGATACAAAATATAGTTCTAGGTTGGTTAAGACTTGGTCGAGTATGGTTCAGACTAGGTCGAGTATGGTTCAGACTAGGTCGAGTATGGTTCAGACTAGGTCGAGTATGGTTCAGACTAGGTCGAACATGGTTCAGACGCGTATAAAATGGTTAAGTACTGGTCGAGTAAGGGTCGAGTACAAGTTCAGACTGTTAAGTATGGTTCAGACTACAGTCGAGTATTATTAAGTAAATTTTAGACCAATTCAGACTGGTCGAGTAAAAATCAGTACAGTCGAGTACAGATATAGGCCATTTCAGACTTTTACTGGTTTGTAGTGTTTGCACTTATCCTTCTAAGATGTTGCTTGAATGATAAAATCCTGTAATACATTATCAGCCATCAGACTTTTGGAATACAGTTGCTGTAATAAAAAAAATAAACTGTAATCACAGAGATATGTCTCGCTTTTTAGTAATTTCGATAATGCAAATGTTGAAATTAAAATAGCAACACTTTAACATGTAAGATTTGCAAATATTCAAAGTCAATGAACCATGACTAAAGGTACATGGCTAAACAATCTCCATGGAAATTAGATGTGCCAATGCTAATACAACGCATACCAAATACCATTGACTTATCATAAGTAGTTCCCTTTAAAAAACCTAAACACAAACTAATACATGTAAACTAAGAAAATTTTAGTCAATAAACGATAACTGAGGGGGGGGGGGGCAAATAATCACCATGGTAATGAGATGTGCCAATGCTAATACAACTGCATACCAAATATCATTGACTTACCACTAGTGGTTTCCCATAAGCCGACCTAATCACAAACTAATACATGAAAACTAAGCAAAAGTTTCAAAGTCAATAGACCATGACTGAGGGGGCAGGGCCAAATAATCTTCATGGAAATGAGATATGCCAATGCGTATTCAACTGCATACCAATTATCATGAACTTACCACTAGTGGTTCCCCATAAACTGACCTAGTCACAAACTAATACATGAAAACTAAGCAAAAATTTAAAAGTCAATAGACCATGACTGAGAGGGCGGGGCCAAATAATCTCCATGGAAATGAGATATGCCAATGCTTATACAACTGCATACCAATCATAATTAACTTACCACTAGTGGTTCTCCATAAACTGACCTAATCACAAACTAATACATGAAGACTAAGCAAGAATTTCAAATTAAGTCAATAAACCATAACTGAGGGGGCGGGGCCAAATAATCTCCATGGTAATGAGATGTGCCAATACTAATACAACTGCATACCAAATATCTTCGACTTACTACTTGTGGTTCACTATAAACTAGACCTAATCACAAACTTATACATTGTTGACGCCGCTGTCGTCACCAACGCCAGATACAGCATACCTATGCCTCGCTTTTTGACTCCGTCAAGCGAGACAAAAACAGCATATATTTTTTGTGAAACATACATCAAATATTGGCTTACCAATCAGGTAAAAAATGATAACATCAATTTAATCTCCAATGATTTACCAAACTTACATATATATATATATATATAGTGTGAATAACTGGAGTGGAATATAATAGTTGTTGTTTATCATATTTATTTTTCGTTTAATGTCTTTTACGTAAATTGGAATTGTATTACATCTGTCGTTTTAGGACCTTTCATAGCTTGCTAGATGCAGTATCAGTTTTGCTCATTGTTGAAAGCTGTTCATACAGTGATCTATAGTTGCTAACATTCAGTCATTTGGACTCTGGTGGATAGTTGTCTCATTGGCAATAATACTACATATTCTCATTTTTATCAACATAAATTACCGTAATAATGAAAACTAACTCTATAAGTATTCATGCATGTTTACTACACATTACCTGTATATATAATATATACTAGAATACTCCCGGGACATCATGGGGTTGTGACTGAAGCAAAGTACCTTAGCCTTATTTTTAGCCTGGATTTTAAGATTTTTCGTTTTATCATCTAATAATGTCATGCTGGTCATTAGGTGCACAGTTTTCTCTGCTTTCAAAATCTTTCTTTTTGAACCCTTCGACCCAGAACTTGTTAATTATCTGTAGTAATAATTATGTGGAAAACAAATGGGCCTGGAATGGTGTAATTTTTAATCAACACCATTGTCCTATATATATAAGTTATAAATAAAGTTGAATTCTTTGAATCGTCATTTTTATGTCATGCCGGCTCACAAATTGGACCTTGTTATTTTAGTATTATAGATCTAGATTACTTAGTGCTTGTAGAAACACAATTCCTCATTTTTCAAGCCCCTTTCTTACATGTCTTAACCTCATTTAAATTACAATACCAACTAAAAGCTCCAAGGAGCCTGTGTCGCTCACCTGATTTTTTTTTTATTTTACAATTGATGCATAAAATAATGCAACCAATATACTTTTGCGTTAGTTTCAAAGATATAAGTCAAAAACTGCATTTTTCCCCCTATGTTCTATTTTTAAACTAGATACCCTAATGCTTATTATGGCCAAGTTTGGTTAAATTTGTCTCAGTTGTTTCAGGAGAAGACTTTTGTAAAAGATTACAAAAATTTACGAAAAAATTGTTAAATTTGACTTTAAAGTGCAATAACTCCTTATTGGGTCAATTGACCATTTTGATCCTGTTGACTTATTTGTGAATCTTATTTTGCTGAACATTATTGCTGTTTATAGTTTATCTCTATTATAATGTTCAAGATAATAACCAATAAATTGCTTTGCCGAGCGCAGCTGGATACGACCACAGAGGTCCAACCCTGAACAGTTGGGCAAAAATGGACACAATATTCGCGCTTGATACAGGTCTGAATTTGGATTGTAATTCAATATTTGACACATAATAGGTTTCTGACACAGAATAACTGTAGTCAAAGAACTTAGAATTGGTTATATGATTTGAATTTATATTCAAAATTTTGCTTTTGTGTAATACACTATGCTGTTGCGAATTTACCTCCCCCCCCTTTTCAAAAAAAAAAAAAAAAATTTGAAGGATTTTCTTTTTGATTTTGATTTCTGAAATCTTGAGGAGAAAAAATTGTCCCCCGTCCCCCTTTTTCCAAAAAAAAAAATCTTTCCCTCAGTTATGGTCATAATTTCAATTCAAATTTCCAAGTTGTATTTGAAATACCTCCCTTACACTGTAATTTGTACTTAAGTAATTGTCCATTAACCAGGACATCCTTGTTTTTTCTCACTTTTTTGCCCCCAATTCCTACATGGTTTGAGCCATAACCCCCCAAAGCCAATCCTAACCATCCCTTTGTGGTATGGAAACTTGTAGTATAATTTCAACGAGATCCATACACTGTTCCACAAGTTATTGTCATGAAACTAGAAAAATGCTTATTTGGGCCCCTAATTCCTAAACTGTTGGGACCATAACCCCCAAAATCAATCCCAACCTTCCTTTTGTGGTTATAAACCTTATGTTTAAATTTCATAGATTTCTATTTACTAATACTAAAGATATTGTCCGGAAACCAAGTGTCTTCGGGCGACGGCGACATCGTGATACCAATATTTTTTTGCGGTCGTATAAAAATTGAAAAAAAAATTCTTAAAATTACCAATTCAGGGGCAGCAACCCAACAACGGGTTGTCTGATGCGTCTGAAAATTCGACAGAGATAGATATTCACCTGATGAACATTTTTACCCCATGTCAGATTTGCTCTAAATGCTTTGGTTTCAAAGATAGAAGCCAAAAACTGCATTTCACCCCCATGTTCTATTTTTAGCAATATTGGCCATCTTGGTTGATGGCCAGGGTCAACGGATACATTTTTTAAACTAGATACCCTAAGGATGATTTAGGCCAAGTTTGGTTTTATTTGGCCCAATAGTTTCAGAGAAGATTTTTGTAAAAGTTAACGGACGACGACGGACGCCAAGTGATGAGAAAATGATGCAATTAACAGCAAAAGTAGGCGAGACACTGGGTTCTGCGGAACCCTTACGATTTTTTTGAAATTGCCTTGGAATTCAGTATTTTTGTTATACCATTTGGAAATTAAATACTGTAACAAATACATACCAGCTACATTTATATATACTGTAGCTATAGGATCTCCTCAATATCTACGTAATCCTGTTGTTAATTTCATTTAAACATATAATGTATATAGCTTCCCTTCCACTTATATCTGAGGAGCTAATTCTGAAAATTAAAATTCCTGTGATTATCATATAAAATCTTAACCTGATGCAGTCTGCTTTCCAATAAGAATAAATTAGGAATACAGTTATCCCTTGGTAAAGAAAGAGAAAACAAGTGATTTTTTTTATATTATAACCAATACTGCACATGGTAATTGGAACATCACTAGTTTTCTGAATTGGATTGTTGCTCACTTTGTCAGGATCTTTTACAGCTGACTATATAGTATGGTTTTGTTCATTGTTGAAGGTCATACAGTGACCTAAAATTTTTTACATCCTCTTTGACTAATGGAATGTTTTCTCATTGACAATCCTACCATACATTGTAAGACCTTATTTATAAAATACTAAAAATTTCAATCTGTGACAATAACATTTTATTAATTAAATAAGGTAATCTGATCAACATTATGAAGCAATGTTCAAAACACTCTGTCATTGTCTGACAGCGATCAAAGTAATTTTAACTTCTATGACAATGTACAATGATGTATATATGTGCAAGACTCAAAACTAAGTATTACAACTAAATTCATACATATATCCATATACATTTACAAGGTACTTAAAAAATCAGCGAGACTGACGCATAAAATGTAGGTAAAAAAAATATACTTTTGTTGGATCCTGCATCATAATTATAACAAATTAATTGAAGGCAAGTCATAATCATTGAGTACATGTACATTATATTTGAACTTAAAGTAAAGGATAATCTGATTAGTCTCTAATCAGTAATGAAGCCACACAACACTCTGTGACAACAGTGACATATAAGTCTCCCATAGATGCACATACTATTATTTTAGGTCTTTTGTATATATATGTTTAAGGTTACTTAGAATTGGCTGTTGACATACATGTACACATGGACTGTCAGGCATGGAGTCATTGGACCCTAGGTTACTCCAGTCCATTATCAGTCACTACCAATAGTCAACTCCTCTGTCCATTTGTTGTAATACAATGTACTGCTGAAAGGGAGAAAACAGTACTTTATTAATAGCAACAGTACTTTATTAATAGCATGTGGATGCAAGACTATAAAAAGTATTCAAAGAGTTTTGCAAACAATTAGCTTATACATTTAGGAGAATTCTGTATTTACCTAGTGATGTGACAGTAAACAGTGGCGGATCCAGAACTTTTTATAACTAAGGTGGGGCGGGGGGGGGGGGGGGGGGGGGGGGGGGGGGGGGGGGCACTCCAGTCAGGCTTCAGTGATTCCCTATATAATCAACCAAATTTTTACCACAAAAGGGGGGACAACCCCCCCCCCCCCCCCCTTGGATCCGCATATGGTAAAATCAAGTTTAACGAAGGCCAAGCTTAAAATACAATACAGTTATCTACTTTCTAATGCAGCACATTAAAATAAATACCATGTAACAAATATTTTGGCGTAAAATGAAATAAATGAAAAAGTCCGTGAAACTGTTGCATTGTCTTTAGCAACTAAACAATGTGACGTCATATGCGTACTCATGGTGTCAAACATAAAATTCTAGAAGTACATTTTATTTATACCTTTCGTACGCTTCAGAATGGTTTCAACGTTGACAAAAAGAATGGAGGACCTTTCACTGGACTGAAAATTTCAAATAGTCCAGGACCTTTCATTTTTTAATGCAAATTTTAACCCCTGCATGTAGACCAATTTGAAAACCTGGCCCAAAATGAATAGACAGCTGCACCATGAGCACATGATACACCAATCACTTATTTAAAGAAAAAAGTTCAATAACTTTTCAATGTCATAATCAGACATTCATGAAAAACTAAAGGGAGGTTATCTTAATAGATATAAACCAGTCACCAAAGTTTCATGATAACTGCTCAAAGCATTGTCTGAAATATGAAAATCCCCCCTTTTTTATGAATAAAATCACATAAGTTAACTCTGAAACATAAAATCTAAAATTAATAAAAATCAAAAGGGAGCTTACGACAATAAATATAAACAATTCACCAAAGTTTTATGAAAACTGCTGTAAGCATTTTTGAGTTATTGTCGATAACTGGAAAATCTCCCTTTTTTAAATGAATATAACCCCACAACTTGGAAACATAAAATCTTAAATTTATAAAAATCGAAAGGGAGCTCATGTCGATACAAACAAGTCACAAAAGTTTCTTGCCATTTGGTGAACACATTTTGAGTTATTGTCCCAAAACTGGAAAATCCCCCTTTATGGCTTTAAAGTTTTTTAATGTTTTTTGGATATCAACAACTTTGTCAAACATACATGGAATTTTGACATGGGATTTGTTATATCTGCACACAAGAACACACATTTGTATGTGTTTTTTTCTGCATAAACATGTAATTCATAATTTATCAAAACTTCTGACATAGTCCCATTGTGCATCTCTTTTTTATGCCCTTGTCGTAACGGAGGGGGCATTAAGTTTTACACTTGTCTGTCTGTACATCCTTGCATACTTGCATTGAGAAATAGGTTTTATACCCTTTTGATATATTGAATATTTTGACATTACACAGTCATACTTTTCTTAAGACTGCATAAAATGTCAAACTGTGAAACATTGTTACACTAAATCTGTTGAATGTAAACTGATAGATATTTTAGTTTGGGAAAACATGTTTTTTGCACCTTTTTTATTATAAGACCTATTGATGAATCCAGTCCTTTTTGACTAATTTTGAAAGTTGGTTCTTATGTTGTTTGCTGTCTGCCATTACTGTATGTAGTTTATATTTTTCATCCTTGTAGTTTACTTTATGGTATTGATTTTGATCATTGTTTAAGGCTGTACATTGACCAGTAAATGTTTACATCTTTGTCCTTTGGTCTATTAATTGATAGTTGTCACATTGAGGATCATACCTCATATTTTTATATTTATATGCTAGGTCATTGAAAAAGCTCCAAGGATACAACATAATTTAATTGTTATATATTTGCAAATTCATTCTGATAATGCAAAAACATAAATTGATTGACTATTTTTCTTATTTTAATGTCCAGAGGCAAATATTTTATGTATTCTAAACGAGAACAACTTATCATGATCAATTCATAATATAGGCCAGTCTGACAATGCTTGTTTTAGACCCTTTTTGGTCTCTAATTCCTGAATGGTTTGGGCAAATACCCCCAAAATGAAACTTAACCCTCTACTTGTGGTACAATTTCATAGCAATTAAAATACTTATAAACAAGTTATTGTCCTGAATTTAGAAAAATACTTGATTTGGGCCTTTTTTTGGCCCCTAATTCCTACACTGGTTGAACCATGACCCCCAAAAATAATCCCAACCTTCCTTTTGTGGTATTGAACCTTTAAATCTAATTTCATAGACATTCATACACTTAAACTGAAGTTATTGTCCGGAAACCAAATGTCTTCGAACAAGTTGATAGCAATATACGACCTCAAAACTTTTTTGCTGTAGTATACAATATGGTTGTTCTTTTAAACATTTTCATAAATAATCTACAAGAAATGTAGACCTGTTTGGGATTGCTTGCAATGCAATTTTCATTACATTAAACAATGTATATTTCCAAGGAATAACTTCTGTAAACCTAAATTTTAATAGCACTTACTTTCTTACTCATACATTTCAAAGTGACATTATTCCTGTATAAATTGCCAAATAAACGGATCACCGATGTAATAATAAATCTTAATTATAAATTTAATACTAAACAGAAAACAATGAACTTGCGGAAAAGATGGTATACCGCAAACAAAAGGTGCAAAGGTTTTATTTCTTGGTTTCCTTAAACTGACCTCATCATGAATATCAACAATTTTTTACGACTATGCCTCTATTGAAAACAGCATGCCTAAGTCACAGCTTCATAACTGTTGTGGGTAGACAAAAAAGAACAAGCGATTAAGAGAGCTTTGAATGCAATTTTCTATAAAAATGACCTGTAAAAAAATTAAATTTGTCACTTCTAACATGGATAATTTTCGAACTTGCCCACAACATTACAAGAATCAAACTATAAACTCTTTGACCTCAAACTTTTAAAAAAATCTTCGAAACTGCATGTACAGAGTCTGACAAGAAAAAATTATTCAAACATAGTTATCATTTTTATTACATACCTCTCATCACAAAATTATTCATTGACTTCTGCTCCTCATATGCACATAAATCAATAGGACGATCTATGACTCCACTATATAATCTAGAAAGCAATGCCTCAAATGAATTCTGTCCTGTTGCTTAGCTTCTCCTACTTCTCAAAGTAATTGTACTTTCGTTGAAAAAGCTAAAATAAATAATGTTTAATAAAATGAAGTTATAATACAATGTATCTGCCAAAATTGCCTTTAATATTTTGATCTACAAAATTGGCTTGGTTTGATCTTTTAAAACTAGACCAACAAACTTTCCCTGAAAAAAAAATGACTACAAAAAAGTATTTAATCATTTTATTAATGTTCTAATCCATCATATAAATTCCATATGACCCTTGAATGAAGGGATGAACAAAAGTGATTACCCCGGTACATGTATATATTACAGGATCTCTAAATCTGTCATGATTTATAATGCCAATCTTTGGGGATTAAGTTATTAATAATCATGATACTTTGAAATTTTAAGTCATTCAAAGTTGTTTAAATTACACCAAAAGTTGGACTATTTTATATTAGGTAGTATCTGAGAAATGGACTAAACCAGGCAAGGTTTGGTGGTAAATACATTGTACATGTACAATGTACTTTGTTTTTGGCTTTGAACTAGGTGTTAGTAACTGGGAGTACTCTCAGATCTGAACTTGGGTCTTTTTTGTTGTGGGGATGTATAAGTACCCACCACGTCTTGTGTGTGGTTTTGTTAGATGTCTTTCTACTTTGTATAGATCTGACGAGTTAAGCCCTTTTCACATCAATATACCAGGTTAGGTGGGTTCGGCACCACAAACTACTAGTCTAGCCCCACCCCATTCTGTACATAATTGTATGTATGTGCTTGTTCCATGTCAGGAGCCTGTAATTCAGTGGTTCAGTTTGTCGTTTGTTGCTGTGTATCATATTTTGGTTTTTTTTTTCTTTGTTTTGTATATAAATTAGTCTGTTAGTTTTCTTGTTTGAATTATTTTACAAATTTGTCATTTTCATTTGGGGTCTTTTATAGCTGACTATATGGTATGGGGTTTGCTCATTGTTGAAGGATGTACAGTGACCTATAGTTGTTAACTTTGATGTCATTTGATCTCTGATGGAGAGTTGTCTTTTCTCATTGGTGTAAACAAGATTTTATTTTGAAAATAATTAGGTTATTTAAACATTACAATATGACAGTTTTATTAGGACTGGAAAACAAGTGAATTTTCACTGACTTTTACCAATTCCTCTCTTTTCTCATTGGCAATCATACCACATTTATTTATTTTTATATTTACATTATGTACATGTAAAGTAGATCTTTCATCTTCTGGAGGTGTCTGATTCCTAAGTACATGTACAACAGGGGGCCCTAATTAACAGCATGATTTTGAGTCGGCTAAAAAACAATCAGATAGATTATGATACAATTAACAGGTTTCTTTGCAATTATTTTGCAAATAATTAAACTAATGCAAGAATAAATTTATTTTCCAATAAATACATAAATTAAATAATAGTAAATAATGAATCTACAATTATATTTTAAGAAGTGAAACATCATTTAAATTCAATAAATAGCATATATTAAATTTCATTTTTTTTTTTTAATTCTGGGTAGATAAGTTTTCATTTTTTTAAAGTACATGTAGGGCGAGTTGGTTGACCTTTATCTGTTTATAATATATTTATTATATATTATCATGATTATATTCATTTGGATTTTACCCATGTTTACCCAAGTTAGGCAAGTTGCCACTGTTGGCAGAAGTACATTGTATATTTAACAGGATTTAATCCTTTTCATAAGTGGGGCGATTTTTTTATACGACCGCAAAAATTAAAAACATTTTGGTCGTATATTGGTATGACGTTGGTGTCATCCGGCGTCGTCCGAAGACAAATTGGTTTTCGCACTCTAACTTTAGTTTAAGTGAATGGATCTCCGTGAAATTTTACCATAAGGTTCAATACCACAAAAGAAAGGTTGGGATTGATTTTGGGGGTTATGGTACCAACAGTTAAGGAATTAGGGGCCAAAAAGGGGCCAAAAATAAGCATTTTTGTAACTTCCAGACATAACTTGTGTGTTAGTGTATGGATCTCTCTGACATTGTACCACAAGGTTCCATATCACAAAGGGAATGCTGGGATTGGTTTTGGGGTAATTGCCTCAAAATTTTAGGAATTAGGGGCCAAAAAAGGGGCAAAAAACAAGCATTTTTCTAGTTTCATGATAATAACTTGTGTGTAAGTGTATGGATCTTTCTGAAATTGAACTACAAGGTTCCATATCACAAAGGGAAAGCTGGAATTGAGTTTGGGGGTAATCGCCCAAAACATTTAAGAATAAGGGGCCAAAAGGGGCCAAAATAGCATTTTTATAAGTTTCCAGACAATTACTTGTGCTCAAGTGTATGGATCTCTCTGAAATTGTACTGCAAGGTACCATACCACAAAGGGAAGGCTGGGATTGATTTTGGGGGTAATTCCCTCAAAATTTTAGGAATAAGGGGCCAAAAAGGGAAAAAAAACAAGCATTTTTCTAGTTTCAGGACAATAACTTGTGTTCAAGTGTATGGATCTCTCTGAAATTGTACTGCAAGGTACCATACCACAAAGGGAAGGCTGGGATTGAGTTTGGGGGTGATGAATCATAAGGGGTTTCAAAAAATTTGGGGGGGGATTTTTTTTTTTTCCTTTTTTTTCTTTTTTTCCTTTTTTTTTTCTTTTAAAATTTTCCATTTTAAGTTGGTTATTTCTGATTTATATTTAAAAGCAAATAATAATGATATGGTAGGAGATACACACCAAACAGGATGTGTAAATTATTATATAATAAGTATTGTGCAATAGCAAGAAATTTTCAATTGCACAGTATTGCACAATAGCAAGAAATCTTTCATTGCACAGTATTGCGCAATAGCAAGAAATCTTCAATTGCACAGTATTGCGCAATAGCAAGAAATATCCAATAGCACAATATTGCGCAATAGCAAGAAATTGTCAATTGTACAGTATTGCGCAATAGCAAGAAATATTCAATTGCACAGTATTAATTGCTTATTTCTTGACCAATTTCAATGGGGTTTTATTCCTGAATTCTTGGGGTTCTTTAATATGCTGAATCTAACCGTGCATTAAGTTTTTGGATTTTGGGCCCCGATTTTAAATTGGTCCACATTGAGGTCCAAAGGGTCCAAAATTAAACTTTGTTTGATTTCATCAAAAATTGAATTATTGGGGTTCTTTGATATGCTGAATCTAACCGTGTATTTAGATTCTTAATTTTTGGTTCCGTTTTCAAATTGGTCTACATTAAGGTCCAAAGGGTTCAAAATTAAACTTAGTTTGATTTCAACAAAAATTGAATTCTTAGGGTTCTTTGATATGCTGAATCTAAACATGTATTTAGATTTTTGATTATGGGCCCAGTTTTCAAGTTGGTCCAAATCGGGGTCCAAAATTAAACTTTGTTTGATTCAACAAAAATTGAATATATGGGGTTCTTTGATATGCTGAATCTAACCATGTATTTAGATTTTTTGATTTTTGGGCCCCGTTATCAACTTTGTCCACATTGAGGTCAAAAGGGTCCTAAATTAAACTTTGTTTGATTTCATCAAAAATTGAATTCTTGGAGTTCTTTGATATGCCGAATCTAACCGTGTAGTTAGATTCTTAATTTTTGGTTCCGTTTTCAAATTGGTCTACATTAAGGTCCAAAGGGTTCAAAATTAAACTTAGTTTGATTTTAACAAAAATTGAATTCTTAGGGTTCTTTGATATGCTGAATCTAAACATGTATTTAGATTTTTGATTATGGGCTCAGTTTTCAAGTTGGTCCAAATCGGGGTCCAAAATTAAACTTTGTTTGATTTCAACAAAAATTGAATATATGGGGTTCTTTGATATGCTGAATCTAACCATGTATTTAGATTTTTGATTTTTGGGCCCCGTTATCAACTTTGTCCACATTGAGGTCAAAAGGGTCCTAAATTAGACTTTGTTTGATTTCATCAAAAATTGAATTCTTGGGGTTCTTTGATATGCTGAATCTAACCATGTATATAGATTTTGGATATTGGACCATAATAGGTGAATGTCCCATTTAATAAGATTTTTAAGTTCTTAGACCACATTCATTCTGTGTCAGTAACCTATGCTGTGTCAAATATTTAATCACAATCCAAATTCAGAGCTGTATCAAGCTTGAATGTTGTGTCCATACTTGCCCCAACTGTTCAGGGTTCGACCTCTGCGGTCGTATCAAGCTGCGCCCTGCGGAGCATTTTATTTTATTGTGGGGCAAGCAAGTTGGTATGAAGGGAGCTACCACTATTATTCACTCTTTTTGGTCCTGGCTTTTATTTTTTTACTCAAAACTCCTGTCCCGCATTTTTTCAAATTCCGTCAAAGCCCCCTCTCCCATAAAAATCAAATGGTAGCTCCCTAAACAAGAGTGGAGCGATTTTAAAATAATGGGGCGTTTTGCCAATGGCAATGGGGCGAGTTGACTTGCTTCCGTTTTTGCCAATCTTTGACTGATTTTCGGGTTTACATGCATGACATGGATAAAGTAAAATGGTTTTTCGTGAAAAGTATAGCACTAGCATCTTCCTAAAAATGCGCATGATTATATTTACATTTCATTGCACTTTCCAAGTACAATAAGTTGGTACGTAATCCATCAAAACGAAACACTTTCGTTGCGTTGACTTTCTAATGTATATTGCTTCGTTCCCCGGATTCAGTTAATCGACAATGTAAGTTACTAACCCATTTCAATATAACTTTTTGATCCATCAGTTTGAAAAATCAAAGGGATTTGTATCAACTATCTGACTATCTTTGTCCATTCTTTTTAAACAGTAAAACATGAATTCAGCAGCAGACGAGCGTCCATGGATTTTGCGTCATAGTAAAAATACGGCAACGGTGAAAAGATTTCAGGGTTTCCGTATTCGACGTGCCAAGCTTTCGTACATTTTAATTTTACGTATATATATGAGAGTTAGTCTGGAATCAAGAATGGGGATTTAAATAAGGACACAAAAAAAAATATATAGATAGTTGAAAAGCAAAAATATAGAAAGAAGGATCATAGAGAATAATTGAGTATACTTAATTATGAAGAATCATGCAAAGACATTATTCTCAGAGCATATATGTCTCTGGAAGAATTGAGAATAAAGAAAAACTAAATAAAGAATATTCAATCATTTATATATTATTTATAACTCATTCACATTTTGTTCCATTCAGAATTAAATAACTCTGCTGAGGGGGGCATGGGAAGTTTGGAAAATTGACAAACGATAATTACTCTAATCAGAGAAGAATTAAATGTTAGACAGTTAGAGTGTAATAAATAAAATATAAACATATATTTTTCAAAATGATGTCACAGAAAACACAGATTTTTTTTTATTACTAATAAGATTCTGCAATTTGAGTATCTATGTCCAACAGATGTCAGTGAAATAGAAATTTTACTAATCTGATAGACGTTTAGTTAAGAATCTGTGACAAGTTCTTTTGTAATATTATTAGGAAATTGCCTACCGCCTCCTTGATTTAGAATTGCATACTCTTCAAGATTAAGCTAGCCTACACAAATAACAGCCAGTTTTGGACTTGATCTTTTTGTCCAAGGTTAAACAATATATTTTGTTTTATAATTTTCAACTCATGAACTATGCAAATATTTTTAACACTATCTCCTCATGATATTCGACGAAAAGCTCACCAGATCTTATCTTCACATGTTTGCCAATATGGCGAATCAAATCAAAGTTTTACTTACTTAATTTGACAATTACATGAATACTCAAACCTAGGTTGCCACATGTTGAGCAGGAAGTTCCTAACTTTATCATCACAATACTTGAGTTCACCCATGTATTTTGGAGGTTCTAGTTGCACATAAAGGCGGATTTAGAGCACCCTGCCCCTCCCCTTTTTGTGGGAAAAATTTGATCTATTATATCGGGAATCACTGATGCATGACTAGGGAGGCCCCCTCTTAAGCAGTCAGTGGGCCCCCTTATGAAAATTTCTGGATCCGTCAATGGCACAATCTTTAGTTTTTGTGTAATGTTAAGCCCAACGGTTACTGGAGATTTCTGTCCAGTATTTCATACCAAGGTTGTTTGGGTATCACAGTTTTAAATCCTTGGTTGATCTATTCTTAAACAACTTCTTTCCAGTAGTACCCTCACAATGGTATTAATGACATTAATGCCTCCAACCTGGGACTATTATGGAGACTATTATACAATAGTCCCAGCTCCAACACTGATTGATATTTATGTTCCCCTTATAAATAGAATAGAGAAATTGAGGACATTTGTTCCACATTTTATGAACTTTGAAAAAACACAAGCACATGTAACTTTTGACACCACCTGCGGGCAAGTGCCTGCAGGACACTGATGTGGTGGCACTGGGTGGTGGTAAGTTTATAACCGCCGTTACAGTAAA